GATGGATGGATGGACAGATGGTTGGTTGGATGGATGGACGGATGGACAGATGGTTGGTTGGATGGATGGACAGATGGTTGGATGGTTGGATGGATGGATGGTTGGATGGTTGGATGGATGGATGGATGGATGGACAGATGGTTGGTTGGATGGATGGTTGGATGGATGGATGGTTGGATGGATGGATGGACACCCTGTGTTCACCACAGTGGACATTAAAAGCATGCCAACCCCACCATGATCTGAATAATGAGTTCATGCTGAAGGTGCAGCAACATGAAGGATCAAAGCAGCCGACCTAACGAACAGTTTGAGCAGACACGAGTCAACAGGACGACTCAGGGTGAACACGCCCAAACATCAACAAGTGGCTCAACTGTGTTAAATGTTTAAAAAGGTGCTCAGAGCTCATCGTTAACTAATGTCCTACAGACTCAAATACATTTGAGTCTGTAGGACATTTTATACAAAACAATGATTTAAGTTTTGTGTTTTACTTTTTTTTCTTTCCCATTTAATTAGACTTTTGTACATTTGTCAACAGTGAAGCTGGTCAAACTGTGTAAAACAGTACACACACACACACACACACACACACACACACACAATATGTAAATGTGTGCGACTGTATACATATATATAAATACAATTGTACATATATACAGTGCCTTGTGAAAGTATTCATCTCCTTGAACTTTTCAACCTTTTGCCACATTTCAGGCTTCAAACATAAAGATATAAAATTTATTTTTTTGTGAAGAATCAACAACAAGTGGGACACAATCGTGAAGTGTAATGAATTTTATTGGATGTGTCAAACTTTTTTAACAAATAAAAAACTGAAAAGTGGGGTGTGCAATATTATTCAGCTCCCTTGCGTTAACACTTTGTAGCTCCGCCTCTTGCTGCAGTTCCAGCTGCAGTTCCAGCTGCAAGTCTCTTGGGGTTTGTCTCCATCAGTTTTGAACATGGAGACACTGAAGTTCTGCCCATTCTTCCTGCAGAACAGCTGGAGCTCAGTGAGGTTGGATGGAGAGCGTTTGTGAACAGCAGTCTTCAGCTCTTTCCACAGATTCTCAATTGGATTCAGGTCTGGACTTTGACTTGTTCATTCCAACGCCTGGATACGTTTATTTGTGAACCATTCCATTGTAGATGTGGTTTTATGTTTTGGATCATTGTCTTGTTGGAAGATAAATCTCCGTCCCAGTCTCAGGTCTCTTGCAGACTAAACAGGTTTTCTTCCAGAATGGTCCTGTATTTGGCTCCATCCATCTTCCATCAATTCTGACCATCTTCCCTGTCCCTGCTGATGAAAAGCAGGCCCAAACCATGATGCTGCCACCACCATGTTTGACAGTGGGGATGGTGTGTTCAGGGTGATGAGCTGTGTTGCATTGTGTCCAAACAGTTGGATTCTGGTTTCATGTGACCAGAGCACCTTCTTCCACATGTTTGGTGTCTCCCAGGTGTCAAACTTTAAACAACACTTTTTATGGAGATCTTTGAGAAATGTCTTTCTTCTTGCCACTCTTCCATAAAGGACAGATTTGTGCAGTGCACGACTGGTTGTTGTCCTATGGACAGACTCTCCCACCTCAGCTGTAGATCTCTGCAGTTCATCCAGAGTGATCATGGGCCTCTTGGCTGCATCTCTGATCAGTCTTCTCCTTGTTCCAGATGAAAGTTTAGAGGGACGGCCGGGTCTTGGTAGATTTGCAGTGGTCTC